CGGTGGGGTAGCCTAGTGGTTAAAGCGTTGGCTCGTCACGCCGAAGACCCGGGTTCGATTCCCCACATGGGCACAATGTGTTAAGCCCATTTCTGGTGTCCCCCGCCGTGATATTGCTGTAATATTGCTAAAAGCGGCGTAAAACTAAACTCAGTCAGTCAGTCAGTATTAATGAGGACCCGATCTTATACATAAGCAATTCGTATGACAGCACACATGGCTAGGTCTAAACGTAAGACCATTCCTTGCATGTTTAGGCCAGTTCATTCATGAAACGACTGCATGACAAAGAAACGACTGTATGATTAATCATGTTTCATTACCCCCGTCGACGTTTTGGTATAACGTACAATACAGGCACTGAGGCATCAGTTTGTGGAGAGACAGTTTGTGGTTGACGTTAATCTACTGTGCACGTTTCTGTGTAACTGAGTACATACATAAAGAAATACCAATATAGTCATTATCATGTCAACAGACCTGCCATAGCACCCAGGTGGAACAAATGTTAATGTTTTCATGTGTGAATGTTTTGTTAGTTTATTGAGTAACGCCGCATGACCAATCAGTAATATCCCAGTTTCTCGAGGGCGGTCTGTTAGTAGTCTGGGGCCCGTTTCACAAAGTTATCGTGGCGCTACGACGGTCGTAAGTCTATGTTACAATATAGGAGGTACGACAGTCGTAGCGCTACGACTGTCGTAAGTCTATGTTACAATATAGGAGGTACGACAGTCGTAGCGCTCCAACTGTCATAAGTCTATGTTACAATATAGGAGGTACGACAGTCGTAGCGCTACGACTGTCGTAAGTCTATGTTACAATATAGAGGTACGACAGTCGTAGCGCTACGACTGTCGTAAGTCTATGTTACAATATAGGAGGTACGACAGTCGTAGCGCTAACTGTCATAAGTCTATGTTACAATATAGGAGGTACGACAGTCGTAGAGCTACAACGTCATAAGTCTATGTTACAATATAGGAGGTACGACAGTCGTAGCGCTACGACTCTCATAAGTCTATGTTACAATATAGGAGGTACGACAGTCGTAGCGCTCCAACTGTCATAAGTCTATGTTACAATATAGGAGGTACGACAGTCGTAGCGCTACGACTGTCATAAGTCTATGTAACAATATAGGAGGTACGACAGTCGTAGAGCTACAACGTCATTAGTCTATGTTACAATAAAGGAGGTACGACAGTCGTAGCGCTACGACTCTCATAAGTCTATGTTACAATATAGGAGGTACGACAGTCGTAGCGCTCCAACTGTCCTAAGTCTATGTTACAATTAGGGCTGGGACGGGTAGGAAAAATTGGAATCGAGTACCCGCATGTACTTACCCGAATCGGAATCGAGTACCCGGAAATGTAAGGAATACATAGCTTCAGTCAACTTTCTGAATATTCAATCACGATTTGACCAAACCTCAAAGGATGGCAATGGGACATTGGAACTGATCTTAGGCTATTTGATTTACGTCTGTTTATAACTAATATAAAGAGTAACACCATTACTTACATTGTTACTTAAAACACAAAACATTTGTTAAAACACAGAAGTTTTCATTCCCGCTGTTACTGTGATTTGACTTCTCACTGCTCATGCGCAGATAAATTACCGTCGTTGATAATAACCTCCATTAACTGGACAATGCAAAAATGTGTGTTACGTTAATAATGAAAAGACCAGTTATTCATTCAGCCAGTGGACAACTACGTTCATGTGTGATATTCTAACTGAACATATAATGTTTTTACATGCAGACTTTATGTAAACTTGCATAGAATACAATTTGATTGATGTATTTACTGACCGGAGAATTGTGTACGAGATATACAGACAGGCAAACTCTAATGCAACTGAGTTAAGCAATATAGCAAAATGCTTGGCTCGCATCTGGGAAGACTGGTCATTTTGCTCTGTTGCGCAACTCAGTTGCATTACAGTTTCCTATTAAATGAAAAACAAAACTATTGTTAAATCGATATTCTAAAATTGTATCTCTCTTCATTGGAATAACTGTATGCTGATTAATATTTGTTAAACTATAAAATGTATATGTTACGTGAGTTCTGCTTCTATTTCTGATCATCTTCCTTCTTATTGTAATGATAACCAGTCGAACATTGTATTTGCAAATCCAGAATGTTAATTCCTTAGTTTTAATTTATATTCCCAACACATTCAATCATTTAATTGCAATCTCTTTAATAGTCAATGTATTCATGTTAAACGCAAATGTAAAAAACTGTGTTTCATGAAATTGAAATAAAATAGAAATGTACATGTAATCTTAAAAGCTTGATAAGCAATGAACACAAGTACACAATGTAATGAACACGTTTATTGTTTAGGTTGTGTTTTAGTGCAAGATGTTTTTGCATTGACCTTGTACAACTTCCGCAGTAGATTGACATATTAGATTGAAAAACCGTATGGGTCTTCAAATTTGTAACTGTGTTAAATTATGAGATTAAGTATATCCTGATCTTGGCGTGTCAGCTTCATAAGGGATGAAGCCCAGGAGTAGCGCAAGTCCCACACCTTCACCACTTCAGTAGAATTCACTTGCAGGGTCTAACACTGATAAATCTCAAAACCATAAGCAGACTGTACTATCAATTTCAGACATGATACCACAGAGTCGGCATTTGGTTCTCTTGCCATTTGCATCAAGCTCAAATTGAGCCCAAACACTCAACTTAGCATGCGTGTCGTCCATATTGCTCTAGGTTAGAGTTACCTGCCCTTGTCATTACTGAGTTCTCTCCCTTTCCGGGTACTCGATTCCTTGAAATAGGACTCGATTCCAGCTGTACCCGACCCGGATTCGAGTACCCGAGTATCCGTCCCAGCCCTAGTTACAATATAGGAGCGCTACGACTGTCGTAAGTCTATGTTATAATATAGGAGGTACGACAGTCGTAGCGCTACGACTGTCGTAAGTCTATGTTACAATATAGAGGTACGACAGTCGTAGCGCTACGACTGTCGTAAGTCTATGACAGTCGTAGCGCTACGACTGCCATAAGTCTATGTTACAATATAGGAGGTACGACAGTCGTAGCGCTACAACTGTCATAAGTCTATGTTACAATATAGGACGTACGACAGTCGTAGCGCTACGATAGCTTTGTGAAACGGGGCCTGGGCCAGACCAACCAGTGACTGACTTAATGAGCATCGATCTACGCAGGGTACGATGACACGTACATGTCACAGTATTCAGTTAACCACCAACTGTAGCTTGGTATGGCGGGGTTAGAATTCACACGTGAGTGAGTGAGTGAGTGAGTGGAGTTTGGTACCGCTTTGAATAGCATTTTAGTTACACCACCTGCAGCTACAACGACCACCTGACGCCATCACCTAACGCAGCTCCGTGGCTTTTTTACAGTACATTTAAGTGTAACATAATTAGTCCACGTTGGTCCGTCTAAGACGTGCTGTCACCATGGTCTCGTGATGTACTGCTCACGTGAGCTGTCGACCAAGTCCGGCTTCAGTCGTGACATGACATACCTCCCCGCCCAACATTTCTTCTTGGCTTGATGGTGGCGGATCTAATTACCCACCGAAGGTGTGATCAGATCAGCCTGTATCAAATAACAAAGAAGGAACTGATTGATAAAGACGTAAAAGCAATCTGAGTCATTCAAATCAAAGCAATGGCTATATCCTATATCAAACATACAATTACACTTTAAGATACCTCAGCGGATCCGGGTGAATGAGAAAGAGGGAAAGTTCGAAAGAGGTTACTTGCATTTTAACATCATGGACGACATAGAAAATAAAATAATATATAAATTTGTTATTATTGAACGTGACACTGATGAGAATCCCGCACTTTGTCAGCATTACACCAGCATGAAAACAAACTAGAAGGGTTTGGGGTTGATGGGTCTGTCCATGTCAGCTGTCCAGGTACAAGTGACGGCCAGCCACCAAGGTGTATGGAGACGGGGGAAGAGGCTGAACTCCGCTTTCAAGACGATTGCACACATATGGGGTGAGTGAGTGAGTTTAAGTTTTACATCGCTTTCAGCAATATTCCCCCAATATCACGGCTGGGGACACTAGAAATGGGCTTCACACGTCACATATATGGGGGTTTTGAACTGAGGGGCGGGTTCAATTCCATAGGTGGGATCATTAAGAGGGAGCTATTTCGCCTAAGCTAGAAATTATGTTACTACAATATTTGAATAAATATATTGTTTGTCACCGGTATCTCGCAATATTACAGGGCGCCCTCATACAGATATAATATTTAACAACGCCAGGTATGACCCTGTTCTAATTCCCTGTGGGTGCAATGTGTGAAACTCATATCTGGAATCCTCCGCCTTTGTAATTGGGGAATAATGTTTGTAAATGTTAATTAAATCATATAGTGAAATCTTTTATCGTGACTAAATTTTCCTGCTAAGACCAGGAAACAACATGATCTACGAGATTATCATAACTATGATCTGTAAGCTGATATTCCCATATTACCGTGCCGCACTTCAGCTTAGTGTTGCTCAACCACTTGTGAAACACCACTTTGGATGTGCGCTTATCAGAAAGAGCAGCTTATGTTTTAGCCAATGGTTTTATCCTAGGAAGCGTCCTACCTGGAGCCTAAATTACAACCTCGACTCTATCAAATACGTTGTATTCGTCAAAGAAACACACAGTTATACCCCCTCTGATATAACTACTTGTTCAAAGGAAGGCAGTCATGCTTTGAATCAAATACAACACATGCCAGCTGACATATCCACTATATGTAGTATGGATTAAATTAAGCAGGTTCAATTTAATATGGATTGTGTTCAAACGACAGCCAGTATTTCTAAAGAAGCAAGTTTCTATTCAGTAATACAGACCAAGTAAACTCGCCATACAATAAATGTTCGGAGACGTCGTGAAATGTCCCACGACGATCACGTGATTCATAAACCGGCGTTTCACAATAGTTGGTTTTTTTGTCCACCTAGAGAGCGGATGTTGTTCCCGCGTTATAACCGGGTAGGAGGGGCAAGGAGTGCCAGAAGGTGAATGATGGTTCGTCTCCACAAGGAAGAACGTCCACATTCATTAAATACAATAACAGTTTACTCCGACCATACAGGCCCCGAGTAGTCGGTCGGGTGGATATTTGAACGCCCGCCCCAAGCTGTTACAGAAACTCGATAACAACGTGTCATTCATAACAGTAGCTGCTTCCATGGAAGTATTCATACCCGGATTACACCTGGCGTAGTGGAGTAGCGGTTTTTCTACAGGTACGTTGTCTGTTGCTATAGTGTTTCGTATCAAGGTTCCACATTTGTGTTTCTGAGAACGATGGCATTGTTATTGTTTATAGTTTTCCCTTTTAAATCAGTTTATCCTGGCAACTTAATACTGTGTTGGATAAATATTGAACTTATATGCTAATAACACAAAATATGAATATCCACTTTTTTACCCTCCAGTTATGTCGTGGATGTCAACTATGTCGCCCTTGTCGTTGTCGTCGTTGTTGTTGTTGTTGTTGTTGTTGTTGTTGTGGTGGTGGTGGTGGTGGTGGTGGTGGTTGTAAATTGATTTATCGACATATAGTCGTTAAAGCATGATCTGAGACATGTAAAGTTCATACCACACTGATTACTCATCCAGGCGGTTAAACCCCACGACATTAAAGTCTGTCTCCAATGCATCACGTATCTGCTCCTGTAAATACACAATACGGTACAATAACACTGAACGTTCCTATAAAATAGATTATGAAAATTCTTTATATATTTACCCATTCCCGTACCACTAAAGAGACCACTTTTAGCAGAAGCGTTTCTTTGTAGCTTTATTGACGTAGGTATTTATACTTACTTGGTCAAGACTTCTCTACTTCAATAGGCCAGTTATGATCAGTGAGTACACACACTCCAGTACACACTTGTATAAACCTATGTGTTGACAGAGGTTAGGTGTCTGAGTTAGTGACAGGCTCAGAAATGCACTTATGTATGGCCACTGCTTTCAAGTTTCTCCTGTACATAAAGTAGTGAGTGGTCGCTGTTGAATGTACGTACACGGCTTAAGACGTCTTGTTCCACATGATATAAGGCGATGACGTAAATGCCATTGGTCACGGTATTTTTATCTTTAATTCAGTCCCATGTAAACACAAGTAAACTTGGTGGTAGTTTGGTAAAAGGGAATATCGATAGGGTGAGTGAGTTGAGTATTACGCCGCACTCAGCAATAATCCAGCTATATGGCGGCGGTCTGTAAATGTTCGGATCTGGACCAGACAATCCAGGAATCAACAGCATGAAGGGAATATCGACTAGAGCTTGGTATTCCTGTTCATATGGGTTTTATTGAACTAGATGACACATAGATAGTGGACACACGGATTAAATTCCAACATTCCTCTGTTGTGGGGATCGAACCCAGAAATATTACTTCATCCTTAATCCTGCATTCCTGAGTACGTCCGGGGCATTAGATAAACAGGACACCCCTATCTTATCTCTAACAGGAACACGGCCTGGTGGCACATGTACAGGACCCAGTCAGACCCCAGGGGGGGCCACTTCGTGTGTCAGGTGTAAATAACAAAATGTGAAATCTTTGTAAAATAAATCTATTATTATTTCGCAATTTGCCTTTGGTGGCATATTTTAAGGGGTATGTTTGCTATTTCTCCTCTCCTAAGCAAACCCCACCCCAACCCCCGCCACACCTCCGCCTTATACACCCTGATATGTTAATGGGCCCAGTGGAGTCGCATAGTGGTAAAAAGGCGTTTGCTCATCCTGCTAAGGTCCGGGTTCGATTCCGCAGTTGCTGGAATATGTCAGTATTGTCATATCGACAACAGCAGTTTTCACTGGTCTACTCTACAACTATATATTTAGTCATTCATTGGTTTTGTGTTTACAAATTTCATTCCCATACCAATAAATGAAAGGAACAGAAACCTCTCAAACCCAACAAAACCAAGCAACGCTGAGATTGTGTCCATGTGATACAACTAGTCCCACTTACACACAGCCTCCAGCAGCTGAACGAGTTAAGCAAAGATAACCTCAATTTTACATTAATCTGTCAGATGGGACATATAAACACACAAAAGGTTTGTCTCGTTTTTGTATAATCAGAGTATACGTGAAGCGTCCTATGTAGATCCCCAGCAGGTGGTCCTGGTCAGTCCTCCGTGTCGCTTGTCCGAGGTGTGTGAATGGAGTGGGCGGTCAGGCATGCCATCGCCCCGAGTGCTTGGGAAGTTGATGGTAACGTCAAACACTGGCTTCACCCCATTGTTTACTGACCGCCATGAGGTGATAAGTACATTTTTTATTTATTTTTTTAGAGAGAGAGATTTTCAAATATATAAACAATGCTGCCTTACAGAACATAAAACCCTGTCATCGAAGGACAGTAAAAATACTAGAGTTTCACAGATATATAGTACACTAGTACACAATCGTAAAATTAAATCACTATAGACAGTACAAAATAAACTGGCTATAGATCACCAACAACCGAAGGTACATCACCATACTAGGGACCATGGGGACTTATAGTACCTTTGCTACCTGCATGGACCCTAGCTGGATTTACATCATTCTTTCAGTCATTGGCGATTGGAGTCAAAATTAGCCATACTTTAAAATAACACATATTCTACGATTAAAAACACGTGGTATGAAAAACCCTTTGAAGGAAATGAGTTTACACGCACTCGTGACAAAATTGTTTATATTCACCTTGATTAGAAATATTTTGTATTTGTGTTCCTTGTGTCATCTTACATATGTGTCATATTACATATGTGTCATCTTACATACATAAGTCAACAAATCGCGAATATGTCATACAGGTAGCATGGCAAGAGAAGAGTATGTTGTTTGCGGCGATCGATACAAAGTCATGAACCTACAAGACCGGCCTGGGTGCCGTTCCACTAACCGATCTTAGCCCTATGCCAATCGTAAACCCCTAAAATCCCAATCTTAGCGTGACGTTACGATCGGCGTACCGTTCCACTAACCAATCTTACCTAAGTCAATCGTAAAGTTAAGATTCAAAGTCTAAGTTGCTCATGACCAACTTAGGGTAGCTAAAATCAATCGTAGAGAAACCAAAATGGTGGCTTTCCTATTCTATGTGAAAAATAAGAGCGAGCATTTCACCGTGAGCGTCCCCTAAAATCCCACATGAAATGAATTTGTATATTTCTGTGATGTAAACAAACACTGCACTGAAGCCTTACAAATGTCAGGCCAGTCTGACCACTGTCCTCATGGGAACACAACCGAGCGAGTCGGTGTAACACATTTGTACAACAATATTGCAACGTCATGGTTAAGAATAACGACAGCCGTGAAGTGAACAATGTTCTGAAACAAAAAGATACAAATATGTTTGATTTCACTGCGCATATTTGGTGGGGAATTCTAAAGGCAGGCCGCGTGTTATTCAAGACCACTGACAGATTCTACATACGTTATAGAGGATGCCTCGTCACGCCTTGTTTATTCTGATTGACAAGGTTCAGGCACATATTAAAGCTCTGACACAATTGACATTTTTTAAGTCCAGACTTAAAACCTGTTCTCAGTATATTACTTATAATCTCGGCTGTAAATACTCTCGTGTAAATTATCTGTACATAGCGCTTTGAGCATGCCCCAGGATGTGGAATAGGCGCACTATAAATATGCATTTATTATTGTTATATTATGCCTGATACCCAGCGTTCACACGCACTTGCACCTGAAACCAAGGTGCTCACTACCCTAATATTTTGTTCTAGGTTTTTTTTCCACGTTTACACTTGGTTGGAAAAATACTCATGAACGCCCGGGTTAGAATATTGAACTTCAATAACCCATGCCTGTCGTAAGAGGCCATTAACGGGATCGGGTGGTCAGGCTCGCTGACTTGGTTGACACATGTCATCGGTTCCAAACTGCGCAGATCGATGCTCATGCTGTTGATCACTGGATTGTCTGGTCCAGACTCGAATATTTACAGACCGCCGCCATATAGCTGGACTTTTGCTGAGTGCGGCGTAAATCTAAACTCACTCACTCAGTTGGTTCGCAAACTACTTCTATCATTTGCTAGACTATGCAAAGGGAGATAACTCGTGCCTCGCATTCCTCTATCTCTCGCACGAAAGAGTCTCGATCTAAGCTTGAATTGGATCGTAAGATCGGGACCGGCTACGATCGGCCTAAGATCGGGTAGTGGAACGGGTGTAACTTTTAGCTAAGACGATTGTAAAATTGGCGTAACTTGCTAAGATTGATCTTAGGTAAGATCGGTTAGTGGAACGGCACCCAGGTCTGTTAGACACGTATGACCATGTTTGACAGCAGGAATGCTGCTGTGGGGCGTCAGGCACCAAACACTTCACTATTAAGGCAAACTGTGTGGTGGGCGGGTGGTACCCGAAGGGCAGGTCATAGCTACCCTTTTCGCGAGCACCATGCGTCATTATTTTCAGTGATCCATTCATACATTTTTCACAGTTATTTTGCCTGTTACGCCAAATGGACATTGTTTCTGCTGATACCCGAGACTTATTATTCCCAGGCGCTGGTGTTCCATATTTCTGTGCACATCTAAAAACAAATCTTACATACCGGTATAAGGAATAAAGATATCCAATTTATGTAAACGGCAACCTTCATACAGAGCTATGAAGGTGAAACAGAAATGACTTTTCAAACATTATGTATTATACGTCCTATGTATAATTAGCGGCCCAGCAGCAGACGTGAATGTTCGTCCCTCTGTGTCCGTCTCGGTTGATGAAACCCCAATGCTTTAATTAATGCTCGTTCAGCATGAAGTCGTGCTCGGGAGTTTAACCAAAGTTGTTGACGTCAGTGACCTGAGTTACTTTCCTCAGACATTTTTAACAAGAGGTTCTTTTTGAAAAGATGCCACATGAATAGTTTGTTGGAAATGATGAACAAAATGAATAGTTTGTTTTGTAGTAAATACAGAATGTTTTGTGTTAATAGTGAAATGTATACCTTATTTGATGGTGCTCAGTAAGTTAACCGTTTGTTGGGTACAGTTACTATAGGGAAACAGCTGAACACACACCCAATCCCACTCCTTGTAAATCACAAGGATTATCCCTTACTCAATTAATACTGAAATCGGATTCAACCTTTCACATTCTTACTACAGCGCACGTAACCAGCTGCCAACATAATATTGATTCCAGTAGTTCATATCATAGCGTTATAGGTATATATGTAGCACATGCCTTCGCCAG